CTCGACGGCTTCCTTCCAGTCGTCTTGCATATGACCGGTTTTTCGATCATTGCAGTTGTCTTCTACGCTCACCCTTCGGTAGGATCTGCTGGAGAAAACTTGCAGCGTTTCGCACGTCTTGGAGCTTTCCTAAAGAGCGTGCAGTTGCCTTGGTTTATAGTCGGTGATTTCAACATTGACATCAGTGTGTTTGACAGGTCGGCGTTCTTGAAGCGAATCAAAGGATTCACCAAGCGGGCAGATATAGAATTCACTTGCGTCGGGAGTGCAGGTGGTTCACATATCGATTTTGTTGTTGCGTCCGAGGGCTGTCTTCCTTATATTCACAGCATGTCAGCAGTCACAGATGTGCCCTGGAGCCCGCATTGTGGTCTCTCGATTCGCCTGCGTGGGGCTGGGCAGCAGCTACGCATGCGCTCTCTCGAGGTTGCTCCCCGCCTCCCCCAGGTCCCCCGCCCCCTCGCCTCCCCCACCGCGGGCTCCAAGAGCAGTGTAGCTAAGCTTGCGCATCAGGAGAAGGCGCAGCAGGCCCGAGAGCGCATCAGAGCCGAGTGTGATAATTTGTTGTCCGGCGCTCTTTCGGCGTCCAGGCCTTCAGGGCCTGCTGTTCAGGATCTCTCGGAGCCAGGGGCCGCGGGTGAAAATCCCGAAGCCCTCTCTGCTGAGGACCCTGATTTGGGCCCCGATTTTGAAGGTTTTGATCTGGACTTTGGCCTCGAGGAAGAAGACCCTTGGGCCGACGAGTCCTGTTTCAAGCCTTGCAGTAGCATAGACCAGCAGCGAATGAGCAGTTGTGACCCGAGTCAGAGCTCGAAAGTCTGTCCGACCTCTGGAGGGGGATCTGGAAATGGAGTTGGCGAAGGTGAGGGTAGCGGCCCAGCCCCTGCGTCTGGCCCTGGGGGGACGGGCCTCGGCACGGCCGAGGAGCAACATAATCTCGCCCCTGCGGATGCTGCTGCCGCTCCTGCTCCCCTCCCGACTTTCTACATCCCCAGCTCCACGTGCGCAGCCATTTCGGCTCAAGTTCCTTGGCGCTCACGCTCTTCTTCCGACGTTTGGTCGCCTATTAAGCAATCGCTTGCCTACCAAGTGGGCGAGAAACATATCCTGCCCATAAGCAATCAGTTCTCGCGATGGATCGACACTGTGGAGCGCACTATCTCATGCCATCACGACCTTGCTCAGCCCAGAGTCTCTCGGAGGGAAGGGTTCGACGCGCGAGTGATGCCAGTGCGTCAAGCCGAGCATGTGAGGAGCCAGCCGCTCAAGGATGGGGTGGCTGGCTGGTGGAGCAGGCTCCACACGGTGGTGCAGCGCGCGCTGCGGCGGAGGCGGCGGCGCAACGGCGAGAGCCAGGTGCTGCAGCTAGCCGAAACCGCCCGCCGCTTGGCGGACTTGCCGCTGGACGGCGCAGGAGCTGCGTTGCCGCCTGGGCAAGGCTGCTGGGACTCTCTCCTGGCTGACATGCGTCGGCTGGGTGATCTCTCGATCGACCAGCTGACGGACTGGGAGGAGCGGTGCTTCAGGGCAGCCCGCCGTGCGCAGAGCCGCGCCGCCGCGGCCTCGCTGCGCGAGTTCCAGGACTGGATCAGCTCCACGGCGACGCAAGGACAGGTTCACCGCAGCGTCAAGGACGGCGACCCCGAACCCGACGAGCTCGACGTGGACACGGGGGTGCTCGTCCACCCCATTGACATAGTAGACATGAAAGTGGAGAAGTGGCAGGCCAAGTGGCGAGGGTCAGCCTCCCACAGCAGCATCATGAGCACCTTCGACGATGTCAGGGCGCTCGCGGAGGTAGAGACCCTCGAGCCACTCTCGGTCAGCGACCTGACGGCGGCGCTGCGCGGCATGAAGGCTCGCGCGGGCCTCGGAATAGATCGGCTGTCCCCGCTCGACTTCGAGCGCCTGCCGCAGGAAGGGCTTCAGGAGATGTGCGACCTCTTCACATCCATCGAGGAGGGCCTCTCCTGGCCGTGGCAGGTCATGTGCATGATCGGGAGGCTGCTGGCCAATATGTCGGGCGGCGATCGCGTCATCGGCCTGCTGCCGACGCCGTGCCGTGCCTGGTCTATGGCCCGAGAGGTGCAGATGAAGGAGTGGTCGGCTCAGCAGGACGACCACTGGGACGCGGCCATCGCAGGCAACAGCGCCCTGAAGGAGGCGTTCATCAGGGCGCTTCAGGATGAGTCTCAGTCCAGGCTCAACATCAGTCACGGACATGGGCTTCTCGACGTGGAGGCCTTTTATGACGGCATAGAATGGGGGCCCCTGGCACGATGTGCAGCCAAGAAGGGGTTCCCACCTGTGATTCTCTTTCTCGAGTTGCAGTTGTGCCTCATCCCGAGGCTCTTGCAGCAACTCGACTCGGTGTCAGAGCCGTTCCAGGCCACGTGCTCCATCGTGCAGGGGCTGCGGAACGGCACCAGGTTCGCCAAGTGCCTGGCGGCTTTCGTGTGCAAGAAGCTTTGCGTCATGCACCCGTCGATGTCGGGGCGGATCTGGATCGACGACCTGTCGCAGCGCGTGGCAGGATCGAGGCGGCACGTTCGGACTACGCTCATCAAGGGGATTCTGTCCACTGTCAAGGAGTTTAGGCGTCTTGGCTTGGGCATTTCTCCCAAAAGCGTTGTCACTTGTTCCCATCATAGTGATGCAGTTGCAGTAGCCAAGGTTTTGGCGAGGCGAGGCGTATCGCTGTCAGCGGTGCTCCAGTCGGCGTACTTGGGCGTGGACCTGAGCGCGGGGCGTCGCCACGGAAGGGCCACGGTGCGCAAGAGAGGCACCAGGGCCGCCAAGGCGCACGGCAGGCTGAGGCGCTTCGCCCAGGCCGCCAGGCGGTGGAGGGCCACGGCCAAGCTGCAGCGCGCGGGGCCACAAGCGTCGGCGGTGCACGGCCACCAAGTCTTCGGCGCGTTCGGGTCCAACATGCAGCTGCAGCGGCGGCGCCTGGGGGCGGCAGCAGGCTCGTCCAAGCGAGGACGATGCCTCACCACGCTCCTGGCATTGCGGCTGCCTGGCGCCGATGCTGCTGCTCTTCTACCTCGTCAGTGTATATCTTTATGGCGTTCAGTATGGTTGGAGGAGCCGCAGCTCAGGCCGTCGATCTCTCTTGCATGGCCAGCCACAGTCAAGCACCTGATGAGCATCAAGCCTGAGTTGCGGAGCCGACATGTGCGAGGTCCACTATCCACTGTGATTCTGTATTTGCTGGAAGCAGGGTGGTCCCCAGTTTCGCCCGTGGAGTGGGATGTGCCTAATGACGGCGCTCAGGCAAGCTTCTCTTGGCAATTCGGAGATGCTGAGTTCGCGAGCCTGGATCAGGCATCCCCACTGCTGGACGAGCTGCAGGGCACCATGGAGCTCAAGCAGTGGCGTCAAGTTGCAGAGTTATATTGCGGTGGCGGCCTCGAGGGCGGGGTCGACATGTATTCATGCCGAAAGTTTGTAGATGACCTCACACACGCCAAGCGAGGACGTCAATTGTCGGAGCTCATGGTCTCGATCGCCACAGGCGGGTCCTGGACAAAAGCTCGGAGTTTCGACGCTGATTTGTGCTCAAGTGATGTCTGCGAGAGATGCAAAGATGGCCGAGAGTCGGCGTTGCATCGATGTTGGACTTGTGCCAAAAACGAAGATTCACCTGCGCATGCTCAGTCAGCAGAGTTACTTCCTGAGGCTGTCGCCAACTCTGAGGCCTATCCGTGTTTTTGGATGCGGGGGCTCATCCCCGCTCCCTGGACTCAGGTGTCTCCTCCTCCCTCCTCCGAGTCTTGGGGCGGCAACGGGCTTCTTAACGGAGGCCTTGTCGGGCCCGCCTGTCATGGGACTGGAACTCCCGAGGAGCCTCTCATTGTCTTCGGGGACGCGTCGGGAGGGGCCGATACTCACGACAGTCGCCTCCGCAGAGTAGGTCTCGCCATAGCCTGTTTCAATTCTTTTGAGCCCGTCACCTTGGGGCCCCATCTGCTTGGCCCTCTCATCGGGGCCAGCCGAGCGGTGCCCCGTGGGGAGCTCCAGGCGCTGTCTTGGGCCGTTAGGTTCTCTGCAGGCTCGCTTCTGTATGTCACAGATTGTGCTGAGGTCGCGAGGGGTTGGTACGAAGGCCAGCTCCAGTCCCCCTCAGGGCCCCAGGCTGATTTATGGAGATCTCTTGTAAAGACCCTCCGCGACCAGCGGAGGGATGCTTCTAATATTGCTGTAGTTCAAGTCCCGCCCCACCTGGATGGGAGGCAGGTCGCTGCGCGTCAGTGGCCCAGCTGGCTTATTCAAGGTAACTGTGTGGTTGATGAGCTCGCTAAGGAGGCTGCCCGCCGTGCCAGAGCGCCCCTCGACGATCGTGCTAGGATAGCCCGTGTTGAGAACAAGGCTCGGCTCGTCAGGAAGCGTTTGCTGCGCGCAGGTCTCGACTCCATCGCCGCTGCCCAAGTCGGCCGCGACCCTCGGGGGCCCAGGCCCGCCCCCCGCATCCCGCCTCCCCCTCCTATTGCTGTTGCACGCTTCGCGTCCGCGCACGTCCTGACCGAAAGTGGGGGGTCGTGCAGCGCGTGTAAAGGCTCAGCGACCAAGGCTAAAATGACTGACTGGCTAAAAAGTGAGTGCTTCCAACTCCACCCTGTGGATGGTAGGTTATCCCGTCTTCCCCGTGGGCGTAGGTTGCATCATGCAGGAGGCTGGGTCGACCCGTCACACGCCTTAATATATCGCCACACCTTGAGGGTTTGGCACTGCGGTTCATGCGGCTATTTCGGTCAGGCCCAGCTCAGGGGCTTAGGCAAGCCGTGCAGTCAGTGCGCAGCTCTCGAAGACCCGACGGGAATACCTCGGTCGGATTGAGAAGGATTTGTTCCCCAAAGCTGGCAACTGAGCTCAGCCTTTTTTATCCCTACGGGATGGCGAAAACCCTGGAAATCCCCTCCTCGTCTTCCTCTTCTTCCTCCTCCTCCCCCCCCTCCCCCCCCTCCTCCGCCTCCTCCTCCACCCAACCCTTAGCTCCCTACCCTGGTCGGCTTGGGCGCCCGCCGCCCGCGACTAGTCCGCGCCGGCACGGCTCTGCCGCGCGCGGTCGGCCAAGGAGAGCCTCGGCACCTTTGGAGGGGGGCCCTCGGACGCCGGCCCCTGCGGGGCGGGCGCGGGCGGCCCCGCCTCCGCGGGCGAGCCGCCCTCGAGTGCCTTCTTCGGCACGCTCACGGGCGCGGGCACGCCCTTCTGGCGGGGCAAAACGAACGATGAATGAGGAGGGGGAGGAGGAGGAGAAGGAGGAGGGCGAGGAGGAGGACCGAGGAGCAAAGATGGATGAGGAGAGGGCAGATGGGGTGGGCGAGGAGAAGGAGGAGGGGGAAGAAGATCGAGAACCGAGAAAAGAGGAGGGCGAGGTTAGGAGGAGGTGGGCGTTGGGGCCTGTCGAGGCCAGGCGGGGACCACCTGGGGGGGATGTCTGCGCGCAACCCGCAACCGTACCAAGCCGGCTGGCCGGGAGCGCGAGGCGTTCAGGGCTGGGGCGGCCAGGGCCAGCCAGTCTCGCTCGAGCCTTGGGCCAAAATGGCCACGGAGGATTGTCGAAAGTATGTTTGTATGGTTTTCTTCGAATGCACACGAGCAGGAGCATGTGCTGAGTGTGCTGACTGCATGGGACAGGGCCCCCTCTCCACAGAGACGCGATCCTGCGTAAGGCTAGTTGTGCAGGGAAATGAGATATCTCACCCTTCGGCTTCAAGGCAGCAGCGAACACCCAGACATCCGAGGGTGATCTAATAGTGTGCAAGCTGGCAAGAGGATCAGGGGCGCGCAAACATAGATTAGCGATCCATGGACTCGGCGCGCGGTCACCAAATCCATGGATCCGGGGAGAAATGCAGCTGGTGCCGCCTCGCTCGGCGGCGGAAGTCCGCGATTACCCATGGAAACGGGACCCGTGGCTAATCCACGCCCCGTTGATCCATGTTTGAGGATGAGCGCGTTTTTATAGATTCGGCGATGACTGGCGTCATGGGGGTGGGGGGGCGGAAGGAGAGTATGACGTAACGTCCCCCCCCCCGCGGTGTGGCTCCGGCACCACAGTCGCGCCCGCGCGCACGACGACGATGAGCGACGAGCGAAGAGCGACGAACGACGAGGACGACGAGGACGACGAGGACGACGAGGATGACGAGGACGACGAGGACGAGGAGGACGAGGAGGACGAGGAGGACGAGGAGGACGACGGGGACGACGAGGACGACGAGGACGACGAGGACGACGAGGACGACGAGGACGACGAGGACGACGAGGACGACGAAGACGACGAGGACGACGACGACGACGACACTGTTCGCTTGCACCGCGGCGCGCGTGTACACCACAGAGCCCGCGTACACCGCAACAACCGTGTGCAACGCAGTGCTTGTGTACACCACAGCGCTTGCGTGCAAGACAGCGCCGGTGTACACCACACCGAATGTATACACCACAGCAACCATGTGCAACACAACGCCTGTGTACACTACAGTGCTTGCGTGCACCGCAGCGCCTGTGCACGCTACACCGCCCGTCTACACCACAGCATCCGCGTGCAACGCAGCGCTGGTGTACACCTCAGCGCCCGCGTGCACAGGACAAGTAGAAAGAGCATGTAAGTGAGGATCTGCTGCGGACAACTGAACGCCACGTCAGGGAAGTTTTGATAGTAGAATGCGACGTGTTTCCCTCCTCCCTCCTCCTCCACCTCCTCCTCCTCCTCCATCACCCTTTCCCCCTGTCGTGCGGGACGGCGCTGCATTGCACGTGCGCATCTCAGCGTGCACCGCAGATGGCTTATTGAATCAATCCACTTGGTTCACGAACGGCCGATTTTGCTGGAGCCTTCTGGGCGCAGATGGGAGGAGTTAGGATGATGCTAGCGTGTTCGGGAGGACTCGTAGATGTCAGCGGCGTTCCTTTTTTTCCTTTGTCGACCTTGTCCTAAGGGTTCCTCTTGTCCAAATTGTTGTGGAACCCACAGGCGCTCCATTTTGTTCTAAGGGTTCCCTTTAACACTCTAAACATACAACAGTGGCGCTCTGCTGCACACAGATGCTGCAGTGCACACAAGCGCCGTGGTGCGCACACACGCGCTGTAGTTCACGCAGGCATTGTGGTGTACATTGGTGCTGTGTTGCGCACGGCTGATGTGGTGTACGCAGGCGCTGCGGTGTACACAAAAGCTGTGGTGCCCGCAGGCACTGTGGCACACACTGGCGCTGTCTTCCACGCGGCGTGTGGTGTACACGCGGGCACTGTGGTGTACACAGGCGTTGTGGTGCAGATCGCCACCTACATGCTGCTGCTACCCGTCCTCGGTCATTCCTAGGCACTTCCAGACGCCGCCGGCGCGAAACATGACGTCATCGGCCCCCTCCACCCCACCCAAGATGATTGCCGTCATCAGACCCGGATAGAAAAAAGGCTCCAGCCACGTCCGCGCGCACGACGACGACGAGCGACGAGCGACGAGCAACGACAACGACAACGACGACGACGACGACGACGACCATAACGACGACGACGACGCCGACGCCGACGACGACGGCAACGGCGGACCAGACTCCTATGCGGATTCTTATGCGGACAGCTATGCGGATCCCGATGCGCACGGCAGCACTGCCAGGACCGCACTGGGGGGGGGGGAGCGTTAAATCATAGGGGGGGGCGGCGGGGGCCATGACGCCCGTCATGCCCCACGCAAAAGAGAAACACGCTCGAGGAGGACCGCGAGGCGGAGGAAGGGCCCCTTCGGTCCAGGGCGGCATTCACGCGGTCTCCCGGCTTCGCCATGGCTCACGCGCCCGGTGCCGCCGGGAGGAGGGCGTCCCCCTGGGCCCTGGCTGCACGGCGCGGGGCCCCGACGCTGGGAGGGAGGAGAGGCCAAGAGAGGCCAAGGTCATACGGAACAAGCCCGTGCGGAGACCGAGCACTCCGCATGGACTGACTCCGTATGGCCTCGGCCTCCCACTCAGGAGGCTAAGTCCCCACGGAGGAAGCCCATGCGGAGACCGAGCACTCCGTATGGACCCACTCCGTGTGGGCTTAGCCTCTTCTGCGGAGGGAGCGGGAGGGGGGGAGGGGTAATGGCGAGAAATTGGAGGAGAAGGGGGAGACAAGTGGGGGAGGGCCAAGAGAGGGGAGGAGGAGCAGGAAGAGGGGCAGGCAGAGTGCTGTGCTCCATGGGTGGGCGATCCTCGCCCTGGAAGGCCGCATGCCCGGGCCCGCTGGTCGAATGACCAGGGCCCCGCGGCTCCTGGAACGCGCTCCACGGGCGACCGGCACGCACCGACGCCCAGCCCCGACTCGCGGGAGGACGGGAAACCGAGGCTCCCGCCCGCTCCGCCGAGGTTATCGGCGTAGCGGGCGGGAGCCTCGGTTGAGGAGGAGGAGGAGGAGGAGGAGGAGGAGGAGGAGGAGGCTCTGGATGCAACCCTGCTTGAGCTTACCGCCGTCCACGCTAGGCCGCTGCCGTCCCCGCAGGCGCAGCCGCACTGGTCTTCGTCTCGTGGAAGGCTCGTGCGGCAGCCGAGTGCCGAGGAAGCATCCCTGGAGTACACTCGACCAGGATAGTAAGGCTGCGCGGTAAGGATGCAAAGGCCTTGGAACGCCATGTTGACGTTTTCCGTGCGGAGCGCGGCAGAATGCTGAAGCATGCCTAACACCGGAGGGGCAGGGATGCAAGGGCAGCCTCGGAAAGTTGCCCCATCCGTACGGCAGGTTCGTGTCGTGCCGACCCCAGCGTTGGTTTTTGACACCGTAGGGATCGTTCAACCTTGAACGATCGGCCGCTGCCGCAACGTCCGATCGTTCAACATCGATCGATTCTGGGTCGCCGGCGGCGTTCAACCTTGAACGCCCGCGCTGGGGTCGCCGCTGGTCGACACGACGCGAACCTACCGTACAATCATGGTGGACTGTATGGGGGGGCCGAGGATGGCAAGCCAGGCGCGCTGGCGCCATGTCTGGCATCCTGCACATCACACTCATCGCTTCCCGCGGTGTAGAGTTATCTCTACCCGCCGACAGGGGCCATGGCTGAACTGGGACCCCCAAACGAACCCCTATCGCGTTGTGCGCAGTCACAAGAGGGAACTGTATACACTGGAGGAGGAGGAGGAGGAGAAGATGGGGAGGTGGAGGAGGAGGAGGAGGAGGAGGAGGAGGAGGAGGAGGGGGAGGAGGAGAAGGGGGAGGTGGCGGATCAGCAAGAAGATGAACAAGAGGAAGAAAACGACGAGGACGGAAGAAGAAAAGCCGCGGCAGCAGGAGCAGACGTAGGATGAGCGGGAGGACCAGGGGAAGGCGGGGGAGGGGAAAAGAAGCGGCGACAACGAGGAGGCACTCAGATCCAGAAATGTGGCCCGCGTCGCGGCGAGAGGACGGAAGCAAAGCGGCGATTTTGAATTGAGGCCAACGCTGCAGCGGAGACACCATTTTGATGAACCCGGCGCGAGCCCGATTGGTGGAGAACACTTCCTATTGCACGGACGAGTTGCGTGACATTGCTTGACATTGCTTGCCGAATTGCTTGACATCTTGCTTTGCATGATTGTGAACATCCAGCTGTGCGTTGAGTTGCATGGCACTGTTGAGCACTGCGTAGCGAGGCAACAAGGAACCAAGACCAAGGACGACCAGGGAAACCACGAAACCAAGCCCAAGGAATCGAAGTAACAAGGCCAAGGAACCAGATAAAAAAACAACAACGAACCGAAGAACCATGACTAAAGGACCCAAGCAAGGCCCTGTGAGGAAACAAAGCCCCAGAACCCTGGGGAACGCCCAAGAAACCAAGTCCAAAAAACCCGGGCAACGCCTTGCAGGGAACCCGAACCGACGAATCCCAGGGTCCCCCCTCGTTACACAACAACACCGAAGAACCCTGGGGAACCAGGCGACGACCAGGACCAGCATCCACCAGGTTCTGAACAAACAAATGAATACCCCTAAGGCAAAGCCAAAATTGTGGAACAACTTGTACCGAGGACAAAGCTACAGAGGGAACACCAGTCTGGAAACTCAAACAAAATCCGACCGACACAATATGAACAATCACTGTTTGACATCTCGTTGAATTTGGGGCACACTCCGCGATGTCCGAATCCACCTAGAACTGCTCACAGACTATCGAATACACAGCATTTATGCAAGAACAGGGACACTAATTAACTGATCAACGCGCCCTCGCAAATTTCAGAGAGTTGAGGGCCCGATGGTTGGGGAGGTCTCCTGCTTGATAACTCCTGCGGGCGTCAACGAACTCGGACAGCGGAGGCTGTTTTTTCCCCACTAATAATAGAAGTCTCTCCAAATTACGTATGTATGGTGGTGAGACAGATGGCAAGAATGCGCATTACAAACCATGAACATCTCGGTCCGTATTGTTCTCACTGGCGTCCACTCCTGCCATGCGATTTCCAATGCTTGTGGAGACTGTCAGCCCACGTCTTGAATACATTCTCGTATATGCCGACGCCCCGTCGCGTGTTGTTGTCGAAGACAACCTTACTCGAAGGCCGGAGAGCTTCTTGGATTGAAAGGCCAATTCGCGCATCCGCAGCATCGTTACTGTAATCCCAGTCCCCGTCCCAGTCCCTCATGAATGCGAAGTGCTTGTTCCCCCCGACTTGTGTACCGTTGGGCCCCAAAACAACTGTCACGCGAGGCACATAGAAGGAGAAAGCGATGATACGGCAGTGCAAACTTGTGGAAATCAAAAGCGTTGCCCTGGATATTAAAGCACTTATGTCCCAAATGTTGAGCCCGTCGAATACGGTCACAGCAATTGAAGAGTCTGTTTTTTCAAGCCTGGACTTCATAGCCTCATACGGCTTCAGACCATCGTGGCCAGGCGCAGCGCCTGCTCGGAACATGACGATGCTGAAGTTGTTCGTTCTCGCCGCTGCCAAAATAGCATCAACGAATCCATCGTCAAAGTGAACTCTCGAGTTGAACTGCCAAGCGAAATATCTCCCCATTGGTAGGCCGTTTGTGCGAAGAGAT